GTGACTATGGTAGGCATGGTGGACACAAGCTGCATAAAAACAGGATCCTAATGCGTACATGATCAGCTATAACCACCAGTACGTCAAAGTCTGCATTCTCAGGAAGAGCACTTAAAGTAGTGATATTACAAAGGAATGATGTTCACAAAAGTGAAGTACAGTGGTCTCAGATTTTTCTCTGTTATAAATGTACATAAATAGCTGTGGTGGCTAAGAGTAGATTTTCCATTCTTATAGTATTCGGTCAAACAAAAGAAAAATCCTCACTATGATATATTTTATTTGAGAAGAAATTATTCTTAGCAGATCCATGTAGTCCTTGAAATAAATGAGAACTTCCAAATATTTCACATCCAAGGTTAGGAATAACATTGAGAGAGTAGGAAAATGACAAAGGGACAATTTCTTGGGCATCAGAGATATCACAAAGCTTAATAATAAGAGTTACATACATTGTACAGAGAGGTCAAAAACAAAAAGATAGAAATTCTGAGAAATAAATTAGGGAAGCAAGTACTACTTCCACAGTCTGCACACACACACACAAAAAATCACAACTTCTATCTAAGGCCTCAGGCCCTGCAACCATGGGCACTTCTTCAGCCCAGGACAACTGACCCTTTTAGAACTGCCATCCCAGAGAATCTCATCAGAGCTCCCTTTATGTCTTTGTTTCTCAGGCTGTAGATGAAGGGGTTCAGCATGGGTGTGACCACTGTGTACATAACAGAGGCTACTGCACTTGAGTGGGAGCTCTGGGTAGCAGCAGAGCTAAGGTACACTCCTAGGCCGGTACAATAAAATAAGGAGACAACTGAGAAGTGAGATGCACAGGTGGAAAATGCTTTATACTTGCCCTGAGCTGATGAGATTCCAAGTATGGAGGAAACTATCTTAGAGTAAGAGTAAAGGACCCCAACCAGGGGAGCACCCCCCAGCAGCATAGCTGCAAAATACATCACCATGTTATTAGGAAAGGTGTCAGAGCAGGCAAGTTGGATCATCTGACTGAGTTCACAGAAGAAGTGGGGAATTTCCACCTTTCTACAGAAGGACAGTTGCAAGACCATTAAGCTTTCTAACAAGGAATGCAGGATGCTCATGATCCAGGACACCAGAACCAATAGTTCACAGAGCCTGGGTTTCATGAGGACCATGTAGTGCAGGGGGTGACAGATGGCCACAAAGCGGTCATAAGCCATCACAGTCAGGAGAAAGATGTCTAATCCTATAAACAGTATGAAAAAATACATTTGCACAATGCAGCCTAAGTAAGTTATGACTTTGCTCTGAGTCTGGATGTTCCACAGCATCTTGGGGATGGTGGTGGAGGTGAAACAGATGTCTACAAAGGACAGGTTGGCAAGGAAGAAGTACATGGGGGTGTGGAGGTGGGAGTCAGAGCTGACGGCCAGGATGATGAGCATGTTTCCAAACACGGTGATCAGGTACATGGAGAGGAAAAGCCCAAATATGAGGGACTGCAGTTCTGGTTCCTCTGACAATCCCAGAAGAAGAAAATCTGAAATTCCTGTATCATTTCCTGGGTCCATGTGGTGGAGGTGACTACCAGCACAGGGGAAATTAACATAACAAATTTCACACAAATAGTCTGCTAACATTGTGGAAATGATATAATTTATATTGTCCAAATACTAATTTTAATATTTTATGAATGGATCTGGACCCCTTGAGGGGATCCCTATTTCCCCTCTGATTAGGAATTTCCATCACAACATCAGATGTTCCCCAAAAGGTCAGTTATTGTACAGTTTGAATTAGAGATTATTTCATGCACTTTAGGATTATATAGAGTGTTGACCATGTTTCAGAAATTCCTAGTCATAAAGTAAAGGGTGCTGAAAAGCAAAAGTCTCTACAATTCAATGAGCTGATAGGGTAGGAACAGATATTAAGATTAAATAATCATCTGATGGGCACAGATGCTATGAACAAAACAGAAGCAGGTTAAAAGAGAGTGGGTGGGGTTTTAAGTTGGGTCTTCAGTCAAGATTGGCTAAGAAGGTGACATTTGATCAGAGACCTTAAGGAAGAGAGGATGGAAGATGAGAGGTCTTCCTGGCAGAGGGAATGGCTGGTGTAAAGGCCCTGAGGACCGGCTTCTGTCAGAAAATCATGGCTCAGAAGGAAGCCAGTGTGTTGAGGAGAATGGACAAGAAGGAGAGTGATGAGAGGTGGTGGCAGTGAATTTCGTAGAACTATGTGGCCTCATAGCTGCTTAAATTTCAAGACACAGGGAGTTCCTGGTTCACACTATGTACTTCTTCCACTTTATGATGTGGTTGCATTAGCATCCTGTCAGTTGAACATGCCTTCCTAGTATCATCTGTTGATTGAATGTGGCCTGTGTATTATAAGGGTACACATGTATATAGACTTTTAATAGAGGAGCCTATGCATCGCTGCTCTGAGGACTGTTCTCACCCATCAAGGAGCCCGCATGCACATGTGCACACACACACACACACAGTCACATACACACAACACAGCACACCATATCCTCCTGGTGTGTGTTACTTCTATGTCCTTCTCACCTCCCCCCTGCCTGCCCCAACACACTGTTTAGGATATGAATGCATACATATAATATTACCTTTCCCATAATGAATGTGGAAATAGTATCCAGAAATTCCTATTTGTAGCTTCCCAGGGACAGATCATCTTCAGGTTCCATTTTGGAATGGCTACATTCTGACATGTATATAAAGAAACATAAAAAATTGTGTTCAATAAACAGAGAGAGAAAGAGAGAGGGAGAGAAGGAGAGAGATATTCAATGAACATAAAGAGTAAAATGATCTAATAAGCTCAGTTGTCCTAAGAGACTGCAAGGAAGGAAAGCTTCCTTGGTGCTGGTGGCATCCAGTCCTGGTTAGATCCCATTTATACCCAGCAAAAATAATAAAAGAACAAAAATAAATTGTTCAAAAGACAAAGTAATGACTCCTTTATGATGTGAAACACTTAGAGATTGAACATCACAAGAGAAAAATGAGTAAAAAAGAATAAATTTGGTGTTTTTTTTACCAGATAGCTGATAGCAGAAGACTTGTTTTTCCTGTGCCTTTTCCATATTTATTTGACCAATTGGTTTTTATTTGGTCCAATATAGGATGAGGCGAGGCCCTTTATCACTTTTCTTATGTTTGTCATTCTTAGCCTGTGGGTTTTAGTCGCTTTCTTGACAAGTCTGATGAGAACAACTACTCACAGTTCTGTTCCTTGTCCAACATGCAAAGGCCTCCCCAGACTCTGTAAAATCCTACACACCCCGTGGCAATCTATCCCCTTACTCTGAGTACTCTTCATGTGACTCATCTGAGGATATTATCTCAGACTCACATTATCTCACTGTGCTCTTGTCTGTCACTCTGACATAGGACCAAAGGAGCAAGAAGTTCACCTGTGCTGTTTTTTTCTTTTTCTTTAAGGGTGTGGATGTATATGCACTTATATAGAAACAAATTCAAGAAAATGAGATATTATGAAACACAGAGAATGACAGAGGAGATAAAACCAGTGTAAAGAGAGCAGTTTCAGCACAACCTTTTTCAACAACATTGAAGGGAGTTTTGAGGACTAACTGAAACAGGATCTACAGGAGCAGGAACTCCACAAAATCAACATGGACAAATAATAAAATTCCCCAAGACCTTGAAATAGAAGGGTATAACATAAAATTCTTAGAAATTTCTGGCACATAGCAGGTGCTCTTTTAGTATGTGTTGAATGAATCAGGAATTAGGTCTTATTATATATGGGCATTTACGTGACAAAGCTGCATTTCAATTTAGTTGGCAAAGATTGGATTGTTGAATGGAAGTTCGCACAAATAGCTTTCTACATGAAAGGAATTTCAGTGGTTCCATATCTCACACATTTCACAAAAAATCAAAAGGTGTAAACTTCAGTTTAGGAGTAGCCATTCAGTTTTAGATGTACATCTGGAAAATTACATATTAAAACCACAGGAGAGCAAACCACTATTTTTAAGGCAAAAAAACTCAGAACTAAGAAGATAGGTATATTTAATAAAATTTAAAACTATATTATGACCAAAAATATCTAACTAAAAGTCAACAGAGAAACTGATTTACAACAATTATTTGAAATGCTGATAATTACAGATAAATAGGCATATCATATGTGGACACGTAATAACAGTAATAGACAAATGAACTTGTTGATCAAATATAGGAATCTTCACTTGAGCTCACTAATAGTTTAAAAACTCAACAAGAAATCTCTTTCACACCCATCACCCTGAGAAAACACTCAAAGGGCTGTCACATTGATTGGGCTGGAATTTTTGAACAGTTAGCAAAGGGGTGCTTTCTAATTTTGCTGTCAGAATTGTGAAGTGTTATATGTCTTGGGGAGAATCTGAAGACAGGTACAAATATTGAAAATACAGATGTTCTTTGGGGTGCCTGGCTGGCTCAGTCTATATAGCATGGTACTCTTGAGCTTGGGGTTGTAAGTTCAAGTCCCATGTTGGGTGTAGAGATTACTTTAAAAATATTTTTAAAAATACAGATATTCTTTTTTTTTTTT